TATATATTTGTATTTTAAGATAAGATATTGCAATTGAATCATAATTATAATGGACTTTGTTTTGGCCACCAGAAGACGTGACTTATTTTCAGATAGTCAAACATTATGGTATCTAAATCTTTTGTGTTCGAAGATTATATAGCACTCAGAATATATATATATATAAATATAAATATGTACATGCATTCAACACAAAGAGTTCAATGAATGACTGTTATGAATTATTGAATTATGGCTTTCAATGAGCTGATTGCGACTGAAGATTAACATCTAAATTTTTACTTATATGCATTTACAGTATAAACGAAATGATAAGAGGTGAGATCATTTTCTAACGAGTAATTTAGCTTAGTACTTAATATCGTGAGCGATAACTTGAGGAAATAGACTAACTTTAACCTTGATCGACTGATAATACAATACTTATCTATGTTTCGTTGCGCCCATTCATATCAGTCATATATTTTGTACCTCCCTCGCTTACTATATGTGTGGCCTGATAATAGAGTTAGCTTGTGCCAGTTCTCATGGCGAAAGCTCTAGAAACACGCGCGTGTTCAACTAAAACAATAACAAAACATAATAACCCATTTATGGGTACATATACATGAATATATATGTATATACATATATATTCCAGAGTATATAGAGCATAATATCAGCATACTATGGCCCCTCTTCCGCATGTCTGATTAGCAAAATTTTCAGCAAAATATATATAAAGTCTAAATGAGACAAGTTTATTTTAGAGGCAAATGGCGAAATAAAAAATCATGACTGCTGCACTGAAAGAAATTTATGGACAGAATTTGAATATATTGATTCACTGGCTAAGAGCAAATAGATAATTAAAATACATATAAAACAATAAATAATTATTATTTTATACAAATTTTAAAGAAGGCGGACATTGTAAATTGATCTCCTAACCTTTTATTTAACACTATTTAAATAGCTCTCCCTTATTTCACACAACACGAATATTATAAAATCCAATTGGATTTGCAACAAGGTCTTTAAATATGATTTTAGTTAGTCTACAGCAATTTAGTTTTTATTAGTGTAGTTATTTCTGTCAGCGCTCTTTATGTGCGCTGCGTACGTTTTCATAAAGCAGCTGCGATCACCCGATCACAGCAATAACAACAACAGTAACAATAACAACAGTAACAGTAGCAGCTACGCACATCAGCTGATTACGCCGAATAAGTTATGCTCTCTTTCTTATCAGAAAGAGAGTTGAAGTACGAACCGGCATGGCCTCGCTGGCACCCGCCCACAACCCCCCGCGATCAGTGTAACGAAGCTTTGCTTGCTAAACTTTTCTGCCACGCCCCGCACACTAATGAATGGCACACGCCCGCTGCTGCTGCGCTGTCGCTGTCTCTGTCGCAGTCGCTGGCAAAGTTTGACCGATGACGCGCTGCGTGTGCTTGGACTTTGGCATCCGTTGCTTTTGTTGTGCTCGCTTCTGGTGGTGAGTGATGCGTTCTCAACTGAACGAAGCGCTTCGTTAAGCTTTTGTTTTCGTATTGCCGCACAATCGAAAGAGAGAGTGAGAGAGAAAGATAGAGAGAAGGCAATAGACAGCGCGCAGTAACAACAAGTCTTTATTTTCGCATGAATATATCCTATGACCATTTAATCACAACACCCACCTGGAAAACATTTTCAGGTGGCAATAACAAATAACAGTTAGGCACTTGAACATTGATCGCGATTAAATTTGCGAAATATCGGCGTAATGCTTCGGTGAGATATGAGGGCAAGAAAAGTAATAAATAACAAGTAAGAAAGCTCTAGTCGAGACTGCTCGACTACGAGATCCCCTGAACCCTTGGAGTGCTAGCTATTTCAATAATTTTWCGCGTCTTTCAGCTTAGACAAGAAACACACACACATACACAAACACATACACACACAAGCACCCACGCATAAACACGCATGGGCTGCAGTGTGCGCTTACTATGAGAACTTAATTGTTTAATAACTTTTTTTATGGACGTACGATCTTCATGAAACTTTCAGATTATGATTATAACATGAATATGCATGTAATTGCCAAAGCACAAGTCTCTAGTATTTGAAATACGCGTTTTACAAAAGTGAGGGTGAGGGGGTGAATTTAGAGGTGGGGGGTAAATTTTAACAAAAACCGAAATTGTATAAATTGCATATAAGCATACATTAAAAATTTGGAGACTCTAGCAATAAAGGTGTAGAAGATATAATTTTATAACTGGTTTTCGATAAGGTTTTTTATCGATAAAAAAAGATCGGGATGAGTTATCGATTTTTAATGATAAACTTGATATGCGCGCTGTAATTACGGACATTT